GAATGGTTAAAATAAAAAAAAAAAAACCTCAAAGGGCTGGAGAGATGGCTCAGTGGTTAAGAGTACTGACTGCTCTTCCAGAGGTCCTGAGTTCAACTCCCAGCAACCACATGGTGGCTCACAACCACCTGCAATGGAGTCTGATGCCCTCTTCTGATGTGTCTGAAGAGAGCAATAGTGTACTCATATACATAAAATAATTTAAAAAAAAAACAACCTTGAAAACCTTGGGGAAAAAAAAAACCTTAAAGGACAGCACATGCTGGTGAGGTTGTGGAGCAAAGGGGAACACTCCTCCACTGCTGGTGGGAGTACAAACTTGTACAACCACTCTAGAAATCAATTTGGCAGTTTCTCAGAAGACTGGGAATAGTTCTACCTCAAGACCCAAATATACTATTCCTGAGCACATATCGAAAAAATGCATCATCATCCCACAAGGATGATGTTCATAGCAGCTTTATTCATAATATCCTGAAACTGGAAATAACCTAGATGTCTCTCAACTGAAGAATGGATACAGAAAATGTGTATATCTGTACAATGAAATATTACTCAGACATTAAAAATAAGGAATTTTGCAGCCAAATGGATGGAACTAGAAAATATCTTGAGTGAGGTAACCCATTCACTTAAGTGGATATTAGCCATAAACTAGGGCATACCCATGCTATAATCAACAGATCCAAAGAAGCCAAATAACAAAGAGGATACAAGGGAAGATGTTTGAATCTTTCTCAAACGGGGAAACAAAATAGATACTGAAGATTGGTGGAAGGAGGGAACTAGGTGGATGAGGGGCTGGGGAGGGGAGCAGGTATAGGGGTGGGGATCATATGTAGGGAGAGCAGAAGAGAGAGAAGGAGTATCAGCTTGCATGGAGTGCAATCTCTAGGATGTGCCAGAAATCTAGCTAAGATTCTTAGCAGTGGGGAATATAGATTCTGAAGTGGTCACTTCCTGTATCAAGGCAGGACTCTCCGTGGAAGGATAAGGACAGCAAGCCGCTCACAGAGCCTTCGAAGCCTTTGGCCCAAAACATGTCCTGCCTACAAGATGGGGAGGGACAAAAATAGAGCAGACTGAGGGAATGGCCAACCAATGACCGACCCAAACTGAGACACATCCCATGGGCAAGAACCAATCCCTGACACTAGTAACAATACTTGGTTGGCATTAACTGTCCTCTAAGAGGCTCTACCAGCAGCCAATGGAAAGAGATGCAGACTCACCCCCAAACATTAGTTAGAGCTAAGGGAGTCTTACAGTAGAATTAGAAGAAAGATTGAGGGACCTGAAGAGGACTTTGGGGACTCCACAGGAAGACCAAGAGAGTGACCCTGGACCCTTGGTGCTCCCAGAGACTGAATCACCAAGCAAAGAGTGAGCATCAGCTGAACCTAGGCCTCTGCACATATGTAGCAGATGTGCAGCTTGGTCTTCACGTGGGTCCCCCAAACTGGAGCAGGAGCTGTCTTTGGCTCTGTTGCCTGCCTATGGATCCCACACCCCTAAATGGACCGACTTGTCTGGCCTCAGTGGGAGAGGATGTGCCTAGTTACACAGTGACTTGATGTGTGTGGGGGGTGTTGGCACCCGAGGGGGAGTCTCCTCAAAAGGGGAAGGGGGAATGGTGAAGGACTTGTGTAAAAGGGTACTGGGAGGAGAGGAAGGGCTGATATTCGGTTGTAAAGGGAATAAATTTAAAAAAATACAGTAGCGAATAAGACAAAATCCTTGATTCATGATATTTTAATAAGGGGAAAGGTATGTGAAATAATAGCAGGAAGAGACAGACAGAATGGGAGGGGAAGGTCCTGGAAAACAGAATGATCATGACAACTTCTCCAGCAAGCTGATAAATTTTTCTTCATCTGTTTGCCTGGATGTATCTCTGCACTGTGTATTTCTGTTCACATGTGCATCTCATGTCCCAGGAGGCCTTAATAACTAGAAATAAATTACAGTTTTGAGCTTCTATGTGGGTGCTAGGAATCAAACCTCAGTCCTCTGGAAGAGCGGACAGTGCTCTTTAACACCTGAGCCATTTCTCCAGCCCAGTATGGTGTTATTTTAATACAGACTGGAAGGGGTAATTATAAGGCCTTCTCTGATTAATAACATGGTAAGGTTAAAAGCCCTGATGTTGGAGATACTTGGCATGTCTGAGGAACAGCATGGTTAATGTGGCTAGAATCTAGTGAGTTCAAGAAATTATAGTGAGGTCCAAGAGAATATTGGGTAGCAGATAATACTGGAAAGGAGCTGAGTTCCCTCACGGAGGTGGGATGCCATGGGATCTGAGCAGGAAGAGGGACACAACCCTGACTTCAGAACCACTCAGTTGTGTGGAGAGAACAGATCACAAGGGTCAAGGGTGCTAAATGGAAGGAAATCCCTTGCAGTGGCAACTGCACACAGGCAGACAGAACAGGCTTAGACTAGGGTAACATGAAGAGGATGAGGATGCTCCAGAGGAAGCAACAGAATTTTCTGGGATGGGATATGAGAAGCATCGAGGACATTTTAGGCTAGATCAGAATAAAGTAGTTATTGGTAATACTAACTAGTTAATTTTATGTTACAAGTCAGATATTTAATAGGTTAAAATATTTCATTCTACCATGACATGAGATAGTTTGTGATTTTCACCAAATTTTAATTTTCAAAATTCATTCTTCAGATCAGTTTACAACACTGGCAGTTTTCAATCAGAAAAGGTTTTATTACAAGAAACAATGACATCAGGTAAAAATGCAAAAATTGTGCAATTACGGCAAAATGTTTAAAAATATCTACACATTTGCCCCATAGGACTACAGTACTTACTACATACCTGAGCACTGAATATTGAATGCCATCTTAAACTCTTCACATGGGACTCTGGTTCCTTAGAGATCACATCCACTTTTCCTCATGCACCAATGAAATCAACTTGATGTTTACACATCAACTTTGTAGGATAACAAGAAACAAAGACAGACATAAATAATTTCTTCAATCCTACAACAGAGTTACACCTAGTTCAGTTTTCTCTGTGCAGAACTACATAGGAAAAGTGCTGTGTACATTCAAATGCAGAAACATAGTTAAAGAGAGACTGGCATTTGTTAGATCTTTGAATCCTGCTGTAACCATTGTGCCTTTCACTTATATTTCCAGACTATGAAAGTGTACCTTAAATTTCTACACATAAACCCACACATATCACTAATCTGTTTCCTAGGACCTTTTCTGAAATCATTTTAAAAGTGGCAAAATATCCCAGCTATGTAATGTAAACAAATTGTTCATAAAAAATTCAATATATATTCTACTCCCATAGCAAATTCTAAACCTTGTCTTTGATACACTATTCTTAAATGATTCCCTCAATATACACAGTTATGACAAAAGGACCAATTGTTGTACAGATCAACAGAATAAATCTAGTGTAGAATTAGCCACAGTGTATTGTTCTCTTACATATCGTACGTTACATGTACATTGCTAACTCAATGTTCTATGTCATGTATTCAAGTAATGAATTTTTCTAAATACAGAGATTGTCAAAGTGGCAGGAAACCTTAGAAACTCAACAAAGCTTTCAAAAATAAATTACATGGATATCTCTTGTAAAAATTATCTTCCCTCTCATTAGCAATACAAAACTATAATGTAATTAAAAAAATTCACAGAAATAACCCTAAAACAGCATGAAAAAAAAAAAACACAAGACAAACTAGAGAGGTTACAAAAAAATATTGGCTGACAAAATTTACAAAGAGATTAGGAGAAGCCACACATCCAGCTGTGGAGGACACATACACATTCGTTCTGTGAATGCTGTCCACTTGAACTGCTTCAGAGAACTTTCTCTACTTGTAGGAACTTTGAAAAGCAGTCTATAAAGTTTCTGGAAAAGGAGGTATGTGATGCAAGAGGCAATGTTTTCAATCTGTTTCACAGTATCTATCACCTTACACTGAATCAAACTGATTCTCTTTAAGAAAATTTGTTCTGACTGAGGACAAGCTCTGCCTTATGTGTAATAAATATTCTTTATCAGTTATAGTAGACAGAGTAATGAATATGTTTTCAACCTAAATACCTGTCTCAGATGAAAGGAATTTATGTTAATATTCCTAAATAACTGTGAGAAACTTATCAGTTCAATGTGAACAGCGCCTTAGTACCTAGAGTACAGAAACCTATGACTCTGTTCACCCACTCATCCTTCTAGATCACCTTCAGCTACAACAAGTGTTTCAACATAAAAATACTCATCACTGTTGAATGCAAAAGAGAGGTTGTAACTGCAATATGAACCTGATAAGCCACTGAATTATTAGACTACCCCAAGACTCCTGTTTCTAGAAAACAGAATTTTATAAGTTGGTGTTAAGACTTCACATTATTAGTTAACTTTCACGATACCAACAATGACTGGAAAGGTAGAGGATGGAAAAAGAGTTTGGGCAGCAAAACAGCCCATGTTAGTGCAAACTTGGAATTGTAAAACTGAATCCAGTTAGACCAATGACCATCTGCCATATCCTATCACACAAATAGCAGACCTCATGGAGTCACAAGGTAAAGTGCCAGAACCATGGAACTAGCATGCTAATCTGAAATATAAACATAGACTCATAAACCATTTAAATCAATCTAACTACATGTGAATTAACTTATACGAGCACCAGTCACCTGCAAATCTGAGCCCTTTCTGGGATTTTAAAAAATGAGACGGTGTTAGCACTTGAAAAAGTTATGGACAGAAAACTGCCACTTTAACCTTGTAGCTTAACTTAAAAGTTACATGAGAAATATGAAACAATCTGACTAAAGTTCATTCTGAGAACTGAGTTTTCCTTCAGTCTACTAACAGAGCACATTTAAATATCGTACACTTAAAAACAGTACACAAAAATATATATGTAAATAGATATAAATAGTAAGACTGAGGATCTAAGTTAGTGCTTCTCTGTTAGAGAGACCACAGCTAAATAAATGATATTGCCTCATATTGTTACCCGTATTTAAAATAAAGTCATGTTAACAAATTTGGATGTCTCTACCCAGGAATACTCTGCTTTTCAAGAGTGCATAGTTGTCTTGAATTCACCTGGTTTCTCACCAACTATTGATCACAAAATTCTAGGATGATACTTTTATGCCAGGGGTGGAAAAATGCTGATAATTGCACTTTGTTACCTTTCCTGACTGAAATGAAAATATCATGAAGGTAAAAGCAAATCCCTCCCGACACCACAATCTTTATGAGCACCCATTTCTGAATACAAAACTCTGTTAGCTTTCTTCAATGTTGACAGCATTTCCTAAACAAGCTTCCTTAGTATGAGATGCCAGTGACGTGCTTTGGCCCGCTACTTTAATTAAAGAACTTTCTGAAGACACTGAGGATAGAGTTTAGCCACTGCACACTCAAAATGGCGGCCAAGGTCCCACAGCCGATCTGGGGTCTCATACACTTTCATCCACTGGTCAGCAATGTCATCATATTGGTAAAGAGAATTTTTCCTGCTGGTTCTGAAGATATGTTCTTCAACAGTCACTTGAGTAGCTCGCACAAATAAATGGAGTTTATTCTGGAAAAGTACCAGCTTAAGGTATGGATTTATAGACTGGTCACATGGAAAGTCCTTTTTACGAGTCCATTTATTTAGCTCAATATCATAGGCTTCAACAGTAAACACACGCTGATGATTTCCACAGGTTCCAGCTATGTAGTAGATCGAGTCTTTGTACACGGCCGCTAAGCCCTGGATTCTAGGCACAGTCATGGGGGTTAAAAACCCCCAGTAGTCTTTTTGAGGCTCATAGAAGAGGAAAAATTCTCCTAAAAAAAGAAAAGGGAAACAAAAAAGTAAATTTTCATGTTTGGCTGCATCTTTAATTCCAACCTCTGAAGACTGTATTTTACAAATACTTGCCTCCTAGAACATACAAAGTAACATTAATATTACAGCCAACTCGCACAGGTCTGAATGACCTGGGAAAAGTAAGGCAGGAAACATGAACACATACAACTTCACCATAAAAATACATTACATACATGTGTGGTACTTCGTTAGAAAATAGCATATGGAATTGGTTAGATTTGTACTTTGTGGGTCTCTCCTGTGTTTGTGAATGTTGCTATAAAGCATAGACAAATTTCAAAACTATTTATGGAGCTGATATTGAGTCAGTTACTATTCTAAACTGACAATAAAATGGTGTATACTGAGCCAGACTATCAATCGGAAAATGTCTGTAAGTATTAAAGTTGTGAATATTGACAAGATCTCGCTAATGATATAACACTACTTTGCTTGTTGATAAGTTCTCTAGCCTGAACTCAGGATGATCTTAACTTTGAAATCCTACTTTACCCTCCAGAGAGCTAAAATTATAGGTATGATAGCTATGTCCAGTTTAATGGGAACATTGAATAATGTCTTTGTGATAACAGTATCAACTCTATGGCAGATTAAATGTATACTTCAGCAGTTATAGGCAGAACAGGTTGAATATACTTTATCTGAAGTGCTTGAGACTTTTAAGTATTTCAGATTTTAGAGTATCTACATATATATAAAATATACCTTGGGGATTACTCCAAGTCAAAACATGAATTACTACAGTATCTTTAGTGCCTGAGTTTAGACTACGACCTCTTATATAAGGTCAGGAATGGAATGTAGAACCACTCAAAAAAGTCTCAGATTTCAAAACAGTTTGGCTTTTTACATTAGGGATGCTCAATCTGAAAGACATAACCTTCTTCAACAGTTATCAGGTTATATATGTAAGGAGGCTTTGTAGGTCAGAAAGGAATTCTGGATTCTAAGTAAAGGTTCCCTTCAAAACTATTCTAAATTAAGGATATGAATTAAATTGCCTACTTAATAAGCGTGACATTTCACTTTATTTAAGCTCTAACTTTTGCTTACATATTACCTTCTCTTTCTATTAAAATGTGACTAATATATTACAGTATTCTTGATAAAAAAAAAAAGGAGTTAAGACATCTTATATGTCCCAGTTCTCTACAAATTTCTTATAAAGAAAAGTTGATTTAAAAAGTCTCAACTTCTCTTTACTAAACTAACACCAATGCTAAGCAATTTTAAAAACTCTCAGGGCAGGGGCTGGAGAGATGGTCAGCAGTTAAGAGCACTGACTACTCTTGCAAAGGTTCTGAGTTCAATTCCCAGCAACCACATGGTAGCTCACAAGCATCTGTAATGGGATCCAATGCCCTCTTCTAGTATGTCTGAAGACTGCTACAGTGTGCTCATACACAGAAAATAAATAATGATTAAAAAAAAAAATCTCAGGGCCACAGATTCCTCTTATATAAAATAAAACCTCCAGTTACAAATTATTTGCTCTGGTGCTTAAGTCCTGTTAAGTTATTGCTGTTCTGCTATAGTATTTGCATTAATTACAGCCCCCACATTGCAATGAGGAAGCCTTAAAATTATCTTTATAAACTATTTTTGGCAGTAACACAATACATGGGGGAGTGCTGTTGGGGGGAGAGGAAGAGGAAGGAGAAAAGCACAGTTCATCACACTGGATAATATAACCATATTGGATGAATTATACACCCATTCTTACATTTTGCAAAGATAAACCCAAACCATGACATCCTTTCATTTAACTAAAATATAGTACCAGATAGTACTACACCTTAATTCTATAGAATTAATAAGCAACTTAGAGCAAACATATCCAGGCTTCTCAGAGAAATTAAGTCAAAGAATTAGAGCAAAGAATATCATTTTTAAAAATGGGATAGGGCTTAAAAATAACCATGTATATCTTCATGAAAACTTACATTGATTGTTCCTGATTTATTATAGTTATAAGAAAATATTTGAATATAATCCATTTAGAAGCATAGTAAATGAATAAGGATTTCAGAATTATCTACACTGCATTCAAAATCTCAGCAATTAAAACATTAAGAAAAATGAAAAGGGGCTGGGGAGATAGCTTAGCAGGTAAAGTGTTTGCAATATAACCATGAGGATCTGAGTTCAGATTCGTAGGAAAAAGCAGGGCACAGTGGCACACCTATATAACCATGGCACTGAGAAAGCAGAGAAAATCAGATTCCTGAGGGACCTGAAGGCATGCCAGTCAACTCAATTGGTAAGCTCCAGTTTCAGTGAGCGCCTGTTTCAAAAAATAAAGTGGCCAACAACAGAAAAATATCCAATGTTAATGACTGGCCTGCACACTCATACACATAAATTTTTTAAAAGTTAAGGTCTAAAGAACATAATTTCAAGCCTTTGTAGTTAAGTTTCATAACTATTATAACCCTTTGTGGGCACCAGAAAGTGGGTCAGCAGCTAAGTGCACTAGCTGTTCATTTAGAGGACTCAAGTTTGAATCTCAGCATCTATAGGGCAGCTCACAACCATCTGTAACTCTAGTTCCAAGGTATCCCTCTTTTGGCTTCTACAGTCACCAAGTATGCATGTGATATATTACACATACATTCAGGCAAAATGCCCATATACCTAACATTTAAAACACACGAAAGCCTAATAGACCTGGAAATAAAGTTCAATGTTTAAAAACACTTGCGGCTCTGCTCTTCCAGAGGATCTGGGTTCAGTTTCCAGAACCCGCATGGCAGCTTGTAACTGTCATTAACTCCAGTTCCAGGTGATCCAACATCCTATTATTTTGGCCTCTGTGAACACTGCATGCACCTGGTGCATAGACATAAATGCAGGCAAAATGCTCATACATATGTATAAAAAAAAAATCTTGGAAGAGAAACAAGTCTCCTTGGTAATAAATGAACAGTGCGTGCGACTCCAGTAAACTCATTCATTAAGTTCCATAAAAAGCACTTGCCACATCTGTTTACTGTTTATTTGAAAATGCTCTAAAATAGTCAATAAGTAATAAACTTATGCTTTTAAAAACACTTTGAGATCCAAACATAACTCAAAAACAGAGAACCAAACATTTCAGTAACTTAAAAAGATTTAACATTTTCAATGTTTTTGACCCTGATTTTCTAAGAGACTGTTCTAGCAGAGTTGATGGTTAGGAAGTAGTAACTACTAGGAAGAATTAGCCGCTTTGCTATTAGTAAGTAAAGCATCCTTGGCATATAACCTTTGATGAAGAACCCTTTTGCTACCTACCCTGTAAGACGTAGATTTTCTCTTTGTGCTCCACAGCGTTGTGAAACTCCATTGCAACTGGCATGGCACAAACAGTCATCCAGCAGTTCTCTCTGCTGTCATAGCACTCCACAGACTTCAGTGAGTTTCTCCCATCGCCTTCATAAACACGCCCTCCAATTGCATACATTTTACCACAGCAATATACTAGTTTGCAGCCTATTCTGGCCCGAAGCAAGGATGGCTTGGAAAGCCATCTGTTGGTGGAATGGTCATACATCCAAAAATCATTTTCTGCTTTATGATCGATGGACACCTCACTGCTGCTTGGCCTGTACCCTCCTGCAATGTATATGTCATTATCTGGTGAAACAAGAATCCCAACTTCTCTTAGGTCATTTGGTGGTTTGCATAGTTTAAACACTCTTCCTGTGACTATATCTAGACAAGGCACTGTTTGCTTCTTTCCTGAGTGTTTGTGTGCAGCATCAAAACATATAATCATTTCAGAAGCAGTCATTCCAAGCCTCTGTGTACAGCCATTGGTGTTAGAGGGTCCTTTTTCTCCACAACTTTTGACTATGGCCTGCGCAAACTGAGGAGGAATTTTCTCAATAAATGTATCTTCCATTAGAGGAAAACGTATACATTTGGCAAAAATTTCTGGAAGGTGTACTTCTCTTTCATTCTGCTCATGTTCAAACCACCTTATAATGCTTTCATAAACATGTTCTTCCCGGTCTACATTTAAATCGTCACTATCTAGTATGCTTATGAGTTGGTCTTTTGTCAGCTGGAGAAACTCTTGTTCTTTGGTGACACACAGAAACTTTTTACGGATATATTCTTTTGATCGATCTCCAAGTTCCTGATGACCATAATGATCAGCAAAGATAAAGACTCCAATAGAATTCTGTGGATCCAAATGACTAATCATGTACTTAGCACACTGGTCTTGTATGGAAGGAATTTGGAAGATGCTAGCTGTAGTGAACAAGGCTTGAACATTGGCCTCTGTCAGAATAACTCTAGAGGTATAGGCATAATTCAATACTAAATCCATTGATTCAGCTTCAACACCGATGATTCGAACTTCTTTCTGAGTACTTTCTGTAAGGCCGCTAGTGAACATGGATCTAAGAAAGAAAAAGATTAGTATTTTATATGCACCACAAATGGAAACTTTTAGAAGTATAAAGTCATCACATATATAAGCCATTCTGAAAACTGATCATCTAGCACGAAGACTTAACTCCAGTTAATCCCAAAAGCTCTGTTCTCAGGGCCATTACATCTTGTGCCAAGGAGTTAAACACATACAATCTAAAAATATGGTACACTGGCAGACTGCTTCAAGTTGAAATCACCTGGGGAACTACAGCTGATGGAAGGGCCTGTGGGAGTGCCTCTCTCTGTCTGTCTCTGTCTGTCTCTCTGTAGCAAGCACTATGGAGATTCTTTTGGGATGGTAGTCCTTCATCTATCAAGACTGGAAAATAGCTTTGATCGCCAGAGTAACTGGGAAATTGTGACTGGAGTGAGCCTGAATAAACAAACTCTGAAGTCACACTCTATCTTTCAACTCCCCAACGCATATATACCCCTAAATAACATCCCTGGAATATATTGCCCTGATCGAGATAGTCACTTGCCCTGACATCCCTTGACAATTGTTCTTCACTTTCTTGTAAAAATCCCTTTGGGCAAATAAAATAAGATACATATAGGTATCTCTTGTTAATTAGATGTTGTGTTAACTGGGTTTCTCAGTCTCATCAGAGCCACATAAGAACTGAAGGAGGCAGAGGGGCAGGTTTCTGTTCTTATATGTTAGCTACAGAAGGAGAAATTGTAAATGATGTATTTCAGATCTGACTGTCCTTGCAGCACCCATCCAAGCTTCTAGTCAAATTGCCTTATGGCTAACGAACCTTATACTGTCATGTCTCAGAAAAAGCTCAAGATACCATCAACATAGCAATGAGTCCTAAGTACAACAAGGCAGTCTAATAAAATCCTTGATAGCCCAGGGAAAACTATATTGTGTGGACAAAGTAAACTTCATCTCAGAAAGAGCAAGCGTTCTTCGAAGGTCCATACTTTTCACCTACACCTTTTAAAGACCACTTTACTTATCTTGGATACTTTGAAAACCCTTCCTTAATAGATATACTTCACTTTCTCAGGTAAAGTTCCTGTATTTTACCTATTTATATCCATACAGAAAAGTTATGGTAGGGTTAATATGCTTTTTTCTAAAGAGTTTAAGTTTTAACACATCACTGATTCTTTGGAAATTATTTTTAAATTCCCCAAAGTACACCCTACAGACTAAGCTTCTTAGATGGGTGCAGTTGTGTATAATCTCAATTAGTGGAAGGCTGAGGTGCGAGGGTGGCCATAAATTCATAGCATCCTGAGCAACAGTAAATTCCAGAATAGCCTGGGCATACACTTTAGTTAAGATGTTTGGTTTTTTTCTTGTTGTAAATGAGTATATTTTTGAAACCTTCTTTCCCAAACATTAAACAGATAAAAGTCTTAAGTATTACTCATTTATAAACATCATTACCTTTCCATAAGTTTCATTTTGTTGTTACTATCATTTTGAGACACAGTCTTTTCATATAGCACTGATTGTCCTGAACTATGTAGAGACTAGGCTGGCCTCAGATTCAGAGATGTCCCTGCTTCTGGTCCCCATGTGCTGGGATTAAAGGCATGCACTTTCACATCCAACCATGCTAGGAAACTCTTAACACATTTTTTTTTCTTCCTAAAGTCCTATGAGAAAAGATATGCTTTTGTTCTTTTTGAAAAGCATCTGGAGTGCTTACTAGGTACCTGAATTGGTGTGGTGTCTGGGATAAAAGTAACTGAGACCTAGTCACTTTGAATTTGTTGTGTTACACTGTGAAAAGTATCCTAAGTGGGAAAATGGGCAGACACCTTTGAAGGCCCCACCAAATACATGGGGGCTTTTTTATTTTTTTAAGATTTTATTCTTTTTATTTATGTACATATATATGGGTGTGGGGTAGTGTGGAGGACTGTCCACATGTGAGTGGAGATGCCTGCAGAGTTTAGAAAAGGGCATTAGGTCCCCTGGAATTAGAGTTACAGGTGGCTGTGAGTGGCTTGATAGGGGCGCTAAGAACTAAATTTGCGTCACCTGCAAGAGGAGTAAGTGCTCTTAACCATTGAGCCATCTCTCCAGCCCTCAATACATAGAATTTTAATACGTAGTATGAGAAACCTTGAGGATACGAGGGCCAAACTCAAGAATAAAGACTATGTCTCTTTTTACTTCAATAATGTACATTTTAGGTTTGATATTACCACTTGACTGAAAAGTCAAATGTTCCTATGTTTGAGCTGCTTTTAAATTCAGGGGTTGAATGAGTCACCTACATAGCTATCAATTAAAAAGAAAACTACAGGCCTTCATTAGGTTCAGACTGACTCCCACGACAAAACACCATCTCATCTCCGTTTATCATGGGAGCCACTCCTGCCTTCAACAGGCTAGGCTAACACACGGCAGTGGGCTGATATCTTGCTGGGTTCCCTGATAAGTTCTGCACATACTTGATACATTGGGAGTAGTTCCTTGCACAAAATCCCAAGTAGCAAATACTTGGGATTTTATTTTATTAAGATATTCAATTTTAATTTTAACAAGTCACTGGATCAGGAAGCAGTCATGTCAAATTTCCAGCCTTTCTAATTCTTTCACCTGCAATTCAAGGCTTGGAAATTATTAAGTATGATTTCTGTGATTCTCACATCAGGAGAGCCAAGAAACTTTTGTGCAGAAACAAGAACTTATTTTTTTCAGTTCTCTAGCAACATCTTTATGTGAATGGCATTTCAAAGCATTTAACTTACTAGAAACTAATATCTACTGTAACTATACTTCTCTTATGTAGGCATTCAAATTATCCATGACATGTATATGGCATCCTCTAGAGAATAAGGTTTCAATGAGAAAATTTTTACTTTGAAGTTTCAACTTATTTTTTACTATTCAAAGAGAATATAGTTTTGTTTCACTCTTTTTAAACAGAAACTTGAATGGAGACTTACTTGACCCATTTCATTAAGTGTCACACAATAAGTCTAATTTTAGAATAAAATCTAGTTCTGCCATTTGAATGACTTAAATATCATTCATCTGGATCTTTTCATATGCAAATGGGAATAACTGTATAAAGGTAAGATTATTAATACTACAGAAGACAATACATATCAAAGAAGCTTCATTCAGAGTTTGGTCAGGAGCAACTGTGCCTTATATTCAAACACAAACCTGTGTTCTGTAGGTTTCATCTTTTTTTTTCTTTCCAGCTTTCTATCCTGTAATAATTACTACTTGGTTCAACGACCTACCCAAGGCAAGAGTAAACAGTTTTAAGAGTCAGAACTGATGTAACTGTACTGAATCCACCATGCTGAGGAACAGGGACCAGAAACTAGTGAGTACAACATTACAGTGAGGTGTACCTTATAAACACCTCAAATGATAAAGCAAGAGTGTGGCTGACAAGATAGTCTACGATTCCCAAACCACTTCTGTATGCTGAAGGGCTTTTAGAATCAAGCACCTGACACAAAACCTATTCCAATCACATTCTTAGAATAAGAACTTAAGTTTTCAGATCCAAGTTCAAAACTTTCACTTTTCAGTATTTTATGGTAAAAGGGAATAGAAAACGAGAGTGAAGAAAGCATGAGATATTTCTGGGAATCTTGGTAAGTAAGACATAAATAACCTTCATTTTATTTCACTGCTTTTTACAAAACTCCACCACATTAAAACAATCTACTAAGTCCTAGTTTACTTGTAAAGGAATAGATTCCTATGTTTTCAAAACTCTAAAAAAAGCTATATGTACTAAAAACTAAAGGAAAAAAATCACAAATATTTAAAATTCTAAATCTGTCCCTAATACAACTTCCAATGACTGAAACACTGTATATCTATGTTGACCAGTACAGCAGCCACCAGCCACATGTAGCTATCTGTGCACTTGACATGTTTTAGTGTACATGAGTTAATAAATTTAATTTTAAAGCATTATAATTGTTTTCACATGTAGGCCAGCAGCATCCATATTGGAAACACCTCACAAGTCCACTAACTTAAATCCCAACTATCTGAACTCTAGAATCCCACCTCAAAACAAGGGCTCATTAATAAGACAAGACCTATTATCTACTCTCAGAAAATAAACGCACTGCTTGCCTTTATTTGTCCCAACTCAGTATCACAGCCAAGTGGGTAATACTAGGGATGAAAGGGAGTCTGGTACGGATAGTAATATAAGTTTCTACCGTCGTCATACCTGAAGTAGGGGCTGATTGCAGCAAGAACGTTTCTATGACAGGAAAATGTTTTCCCGTGATCCACTTCCACTACAATGTCTGTCAACTGTCCTTCATCGTACATTGTTTTGAGTTGCTTAAGAATACTGCAAGCATGGAAAGGGTCCATGGTATCGTTGGCTGGGTCTGAAGACGGAATCCCATTCGGTGTTGGGGAAGACTTACTTAAATCTAGGAGAAAAATCGCACAACCACAAGAAGTTCGAAGCCAGTTTAAGGCATCGTGGGTTTTTTTTTCCCTCACCCCTTAAACAAACGCCTCTGTGTGTACACACAGGACCGCCGACATAGGCTCTGGGAGCCGAGAGCTCAACAAGGGCGAACAAGTTCCCAGGCCGGCGCGCTCCTCGGGAGCCCGGCGAGCCCGCACCGCCGCGCTCGCGGAGGGAGCGTGTGAGGCGAGCCAGCCGAGCCGGCAGCAGCGGTGCGCGGGGACTCGGCTCCGGGCAGAGCGCGGGGCGGGAGCCTCTCGAGGGCAGCGCAACCGAGGGCGATTGCCAGGGTACCCCTCAACCGCCTCGCAGGCGGCCGGTACCCAGACGCCCCATCTCCGCGGGCGCGCCGCCCACCGCCCTCCTCCCCATTCATCCTCGCCTCCGCGCCCGCCGTCTCTCCATCCTTCCCTCCCGCCTTACGGCCGCCTCTTCAGGTCAAGGCCTGCGCCCGCGCTCCTGCTTCCCTCCTCCGACACTGCCGGCGGCAGTACCACGCCACCCACCTGCCGACGCGGCCATTTCTCCAAGGGGCCCCGGCTCCTGTTATTTAAAGAGGAAATGTCATTGCGTTTCGCTCGCTCCCGGGTTCCGGCTCTACTAAGCGTCGCCTAGCCAATGAGGGTGGCTAACCAAGACGGCTCCTCCCCGAGCCTCGAAATACCTGGCGTTTATTGGTTAGCATTCGTGTACCAGCGCGTCGGGAAATGTAGTTTTAAGGCCCCCGTTCCCGCGTGCTCCTAGTCGGGCAGAGGCCCAAGCCGAGCATTCCTATTGGCTAGGTGGGCGTAGGCGAGCCCCGAGCCCGCCAGCCTGTGCATGTGAAATGCGCAGCGCCCGCTGGGAAATGTAGTCATTTAGTTGAGGCGAGCTGTCACTGAGACACGAGGTAGGAAAAGCTCTTGTAGAGCAAATTTCCCTGGCTAAGGCCTCTCTCCTAGTCTTGACTCCGTTTTAAAACTAATTTTCTTCATACTGCAAATTCCCTATCCGTGACTAGATTCCGGTATGAAAACACGCTCTACACGAGGACTATGAAACTCTGAAAAGTTGAAAATGGTTAGGAGGGCTGTTATCCAAAACTGCAAGGGATATAAACGCCCCCCGCCCCATCCTCAAACACACACAGATGGAAAATAACGGTAGGCCTCTGCTGAGTCACCTGTGACGCCCACTTGACATTGCATCGCCTTAGCCACATGTCCTGTTTTTCATAGATGAACTGGGTCTAGCTCATCACTCAGGACCTGAATCCTCTTGGCTTGCATTTCTAGCACACCCAGGAAACACCTGTCATACCGAAGAATACAGGCTCACTCGACAGAGACTCAGGTGACTGATTTCCCCTGGGCTTCTTGAATGTGAAGAGGGCCTCTGGCTTTCCTGTGAAGAGATGCTGGAGAGAGGCTGAACCTGGCACTCCTCCAGACTGTGCTCAAGTTCTGGCTCTTGCACAAGCTCTTCCAGCCCTTGAATCTAATGTATAGCAGCCAGCACTCAGCATTCAGTCTACTTCATAGTTTTTTGTTTGTTTGTTTGTTTGTTTTTGTTTTGTTTTTGCAACAAGCAGAGGTTTTATTGTTGACCTATTTTTTCTTCTTCTTCTTCGTGTGTGTGTGTGTGTGTGTGTGTGTGTGTGTGTGTACGTTTGTAGGTGTGGTTTTGCACGAGTGGATGTTCATATGGGGTTGGGGGCGGTGCATGTGCATGCATGTGGAGGCCTGAGGTTGATGTTGGAAATCCTACAACGCTGCTTTTCTACCTTATCCAGTGAAGCATGCTCTCTCAATCAAACCCAGAGATCACGCATACTGCTAGTCTCTCTAAGCAGCTTGCTCTGGAGATTCTCTTTCTCTCTCTAGGTTGGATTCTGGGGAATTGGAACATCTGTCCTCACACTTGGCATGGCAAGCACTTTAATCACTGAGCCATCTTCTCAGCCAGTTTTTTTTATCTATTTTGATTTTCTCATCTTGTTTTTGACATCTAACAGGATGCTCTGATAAAGTGGGAATGATTTAAAATAGTTGAGTTCTATTCCCTAGGTGTGCTAGAAATTTAAATAAAGTTCCAAGTGGTATGCTGCTATGCAAATTAATGAGATGTGATGCTTCCTGGGGACTGGGGCTTAAGGACCTCACTCACAGTCCTTGCTTATGAAACATTAAAGGCTTGCTTATCAGCATAGTCTTTACATGATGAATTTGACTTTACTTGTTACTTCTAACTTTGAATTTGTATTTCTCATGTATTCAATAATTTAGTAAAATTTGTGTGTGTGTGTGTGTGTGTGCATTTGTATGTGTGTTTTTGCACACATACATCATTCCCACTTTTTACCAACCACAGGTGAAATTTCAAGACCCTTTAACAAGATCTCCTGGAGTTGAAGATGCCCTCCCTTGGGGGCTGGTAGTGTGCTTGCATGGTGCCTCTGGTTCAATTTACAGCAGTATACTAAATAAATAAGTTATGCTCACAATATTAAGGGCATTAAGAAAATGACGTTTATCAGTATAATTTTAGCAATTAAAATAGAAAGCATGCATTTAGGGGGAAGTCCTATTGGCTGTTTCACTCAAGTTCAAATTTAATCAACTTTTTCAGTCCTGTTAAAGCTCTTTAAGAGACACTTGGCTAATTTTCTTTCATTCTTTCTTTTTTAACTCAATTTTCTATCTGATTCTGTACTAGTTAAATAATGTGCTTGTCCCTATTGCTAAATAAAGTAAAATAAAGCTTCCTTGTTCTTTAATGAACAAAGATTTGTCCATTTGGGAATGGGGCACACTACAAAGAAAGTAAATCTAAATTTAAGAAATAAATATTCATAATTACAAGCTTGCCATTCACATGACACCCTGTAAACAGACTCCACAACTGGTCAGGTGTCGTTGTCTAGCGAAGATTTGTTATCATTATGATGCACGTTTTAAGCAAAAAGAATTAGTAGAAGGATCTTAAAGGAACCTACAAAGCCTATGTACAGCCTAGAAAGAAAGAAGCAAAGGTAACCCAGTTTTCTTGATGGATTCACTACCATGTTGTCCTTTGAAGCCATTTTCCTACATGGTTACAGTTTAGAGTAGCAGATATAAAGGATGGAAACTGTAAAAGCAGACAGGAATTTAGGAAGAACTGTACTTAAGTTAGACCCTGCGGCTTTCTTATAGTATGTGTATATTGCCTCAGATCCAAAAGCAAAAAGAACTTCTTGAAAAAAGTCTTGACCTTTAAGTTATAGAAAAGATGAAGGACCATAAAAGCAACAAATTCAGAAGATGAGGACAAAATGCACTCACCTTTGTGTGTGTGTGTGCCTTAACATTGAGGGAACGACTTTTAGCAATTATCATTTGTACACAGGCAACTGTCAGTAATGATTCCACAGAACACAGATGTGATAGCAGCTGATAGGGGAAAAAGAAGAGGAAATAGAACCTCACTTCTGCAAATTGATTGTACAGCTTTTCAATTTCTTTGTTCAATGCTGTGGAGGCTGTGAGATTAACCAGGGCTCCGTAAAAGAAGGGAGGAAGGCACATGGAAGACCTTCACCTCTCAGCAAATGACATCCTTAAACATTTAACTTCACAACTACAATCTACTTGATGAGGCCAATGTGACATTCATCTTGCCACAATCTTGTATTAACAAGATTAATGCCTAAAATGAAGCAACAGAGTATTTTTATATAAATTTAATATACTTGCAGATACTAAAACTTTTTTTTTAATTCTGGGACCTATATGTTGCATATGGTTTTCTTTTTTAAAAATTCAGAATTCTAAGTAGATATTAGCATTAAATTGAGTGTTTCTTAACTTTGTTATATCTTTTATGTAATGGTAAAACCTATAAAACTATTTTACAAACACTGATTTTGATTATAGCAGAGGATACTAAAATGCATTAATTTATCCTATTAGCCCTTGAAATTTAGCCTACCCAAGAAGGAAAAGGTGTATGCATAAATACTTAATTTTAAAAAACCTCATTTTGTTTTGTCTTGCTTTGGTTTGCTTTGAGACAGGATCTCACTATTTGCTCTGCCTGGCCCAGAACTCACAATGTAGACCAGCCTGGCCTCACACTCAGAGATCTTCCTACCTCTGCTTCCCAAGTTCTGGAATTAAAGGTGTGCACCACCACTCCAGGCTTCCAAAATATTTTCGCTTCTTATCACTTCCTGCATTCTGGGAAGACACTGTGTGCTACAGGGATCAAGACAGAAGGAAGAGAGGAAAGAAATCAGGAGGGAAGGGAAGGAAGAAGAGAAGGAACTGGAAGGGAGAGAAATTCTAGCTTAGGACCTTATTGGACGGAGTATGGGGACCTCAATGGAGGAGTTAGGGAAAGAACTGAAGGAGCTAAAGTGGCTTGCAACACCATAGGAAGAACAATATCAACCAACCAGACTACCCTAGAGCTCCTAGGAACTAAACCACCAATCAAAGAGTACACATGGAGGGACCCATGGCTCTAGCTGCATACGTAGCAGAGGATGGCTTTATCTGCCATCAATGGGAGGGGAGGTCCTTGATCCAGTAGAAGCTCAATGCCCCAGTTTAGGGGGATGCTAGGGCTGTGAGACAGGAGTGGGTGTATGGGTGGGGGAGCACCCTCATAGAATCAGGCATGAGAGGGGTTGGGATAGAGTTATTGATGGTTGTGAAATACCGTGTGAGTGCTAGACCCAAACTCACATCCTCTGCAAAAGTAGCAAGTACTCTTAGCCATTGAGCTACCACTCCAGCCTCTTTATCTTCTTTTACAGTATATACTGTACAGTTAATACTTGCCTTAGTTCATAACACATATAATCCCCTAAATCCTATCTCCTGCTTTATATATTCTATTTACTTCTGATTATCTACTCTGACTTCTTCCAACTTTAAATACAATTGTAATGGATTTGAAATCTCTCATTGCATAAGTAAATATTCTTGTAAAATTATTTTTGTGTTTTCTACCTGGGGAATTAACATGATAGTGTTGGGCTCTGGATAGAATCCAGTTTTCAACTTTTTTTTTTTTTACCAGTACTCTGCTTTTAAGTTTCATCTATATTCTTTGTTATTTTTCTACTTTACCTTCCCAAATACATACATATGTTATATGTGTGTGTGTGTGTGTGTGTATGTGTGTGTGTGTTTGTCTGTGATATATATATATATATATATATATAGCCATGAAATTAATTGTATAGATGAGTATGTTGTATAAGACCCCTGACCCTCAGTCAATGGTACTTACTTCGAGATGCCACTGAGTGAGACACTGAGATGCAGATTGATGCAAAAGCAAGAGGTTTATTTTCTGTCAGGTTCAACCCCCAATCATACCCTCTAGGTGAAGAATGAGAAGGCGATCCCAAATGGCTATTACAAGTAGTTTTTATACTTTTTAGGGGCACGGGTTACATCTGCAAGGTTACAGTTCAAACTTATTGGCTAAGCATATTGAACTTTAAATCTATTGGCTAACAAACATGAAGTGCATTTGAACTCTACCTGGGACTTTCTAGAGGGTCAGGTGACCATCAGTCAGCACATTCTGAGAATTGAATTTTTTACTCAAGAATGTTTCTGT